AATCATAGGGAAGCCATCACCAAGAACTCTAAAACCTCATGTTTACTGACGTTGTTGTCCGTTGTCGTGTTTTTGGTTAGTTGTTTTTTTCTTTTCTAAAATCATGCGTACAATATGATAGAGGTAGTGTGTGTGTTACATCACATACTGTATTTACAAGACATAACAGAGGGAGCAATCAGACAGAACATTATGTTCCAAACATGTTAGCTGACTATCCCCTGCAGGCTACATTCATTGCAAGGTATGTATTGACTGAAATACAACTCCCATTATCTTGTGCTAGAGTCCCAGGCTTCCCCAAACTCCGGCCCTCCAGATGTTGCAGAACTACATCTGACATGATTCTCAGCCTATCTATGTCATTCATAGAATCATGGGAGTTGTAGTTCAGCAGCATCTGGAGGGCCGGAGTTTGGGGAAGCCTGTGCTAGACTGTAGCTAGCCTACAGTCGATGTAAATGTTTTTTTTCCAAATATCACAATCTTAACCTACCTAGAATAAGCATCTTCACCACCTCATCGCCACCGACCATACTAACCGAGTCATACACGTTAACATCAATTAAACCCTGTTCAATGTACACTGTACTATCAAATGCCAACACAAGGTATGTACTCCAGTCTGTAACAGTTACATAGTAACCGATTGTGAGAAATCTATTTTGATGAGTTATTATGCATCTTTTAAAATATATTTCTCAAATCCAGTCCACTTTTAGGGGTTTATTCACTAAACAGAGAATTGTTTAGTGAGCTAAGATGTAAATTGCTAAATTAAATCTAAAATATCCCAGTTGTGGCTAAAGCTAAGTATGAGATTCTTTCAACATGTTACCCAATGATTTGCAGTTTGGTTTCCAGTTTCATTGGAATTTGCTGTTTGGAAAATAAACCCCTCCGTTTGTTGGATATTTGGTCCACACTGTTGGTCAGTGGTAGCCAATAGTAGATCTTAGTTGATGTAGAACTGCCACTCCCATAAAACTCTGGCAATTTTAAAGGGACACTGTAAGCACTGTAACTGTTTAATCTCACTGAAGTGTCTGGAGTCCCCTGACTTCAGCATTAAACCATTTTAATACTAAATAGGAGCCCATCCTCTCTGGTCTACTTGGGCTAATGAGGAAGCATTATGCTGAACATGAAATGGGCAGCTGTGGTTGGCTGAGAGTGCCACCTGACCATTTTCAGCCTATCACTGTGCTCATTGCTAGTATGAATTAGTATGGCTCAAAAGAAGTGTGGAATCTCTTCCTTAGCCATACCTCCGTAGGGGCCGGGGCTGTGGGTGGACAGTGATCCTTACTTAGTGATTTGACGCTGACTGGAGGGACAGTGGCAAGGGACCCCAGGCACTTTAACTAGTTCAATGAGATGACATTGTATACTGCCTACAGTGTCCCTTTAAGATTGGCACAGCATCAATGCAGTTCTAGTATGCAGGGGATGTGTTAGCCTAATCTTCTCAGCCAATAAATGCTGTCTAGTTTGGATGAAATTGACATTGATTACTTATGAGCATTATGATTTTGGGTGAGAGGGAGGAGATACTCTCTGGGCACCGGGAAGAGTCTCAGTTTTAGTAAAATGTCTCTATATGGCTTGATGTTAAACCTGAGCACTGCAGCAGGACATTCTAGACAACATACCATTTACAGCAGGTGGTAGTGGTTTTATTACTACAAATGCCCCTTTAACAGTCCAGGACTCCAGGTGTATCTGTACTGCTGGGTGATTTGTGTTCTCCAATAATATCTAGGACAACATACAAGGTTGCGTTGCACCATGGGAAATGCAGCCCACTGTCGCTGAGGTGCCATAGTTTAAAGGATCTAATTTAGAGAACAGAACTATTAAAGATGTAGAAGTATAATTTACTTTGGTTATATCTGAGGATTATGGGAGTAGTAGTCCAAAACAGCCAGATTGCCAAATTTGGAGAACCTTGACCTGGATGAATTGTAAGGTCCAGGTAAGTGACAGGAAATGGGTAATTGCGTACTTAGCATTGAAATTTACCTGTCTGACATCAAACTATATTTGCGTGTGCACACACGTGTTAAGAGGACGCACGTCAGTGTACAGTGCTGCCTGGGTATGGCTGTTCCATGCCTCACAGCTTATCACAACACTAATCTTGCTCCTCCCATTTCTCACTCATACAGTCATGTTAAAATAAATGTGTAATGTAGTAAGGAGGATGCAATATATACTTGTAAAAAAAACTCTTAGCAAAGTGCAGAAAACCAGTAAAACTTTGTGACTATAAAAGTGTAAAATAAGATACATCATTTGTATACACATAATTATTGTTAGAAAGTTTTCTGCGGATCCCTTGTTATGTGTATAGAGTCATGCCAACTATGTGAAATAGCCCTACCATCGGGTCCTGTACAGATGACATGATTCACAGCATATTACTCCAGATATCTCTATTGTTTTACACCCAGCGCAGCACATGCCAATTGCCTAGAACTGTTAAGAGTGACAAGCCTTTCCAGAGCAGAACATTGTTTGTTTTAGGAGATAAATGATTGTTGCAAAGATTTTATGCACTTCAATTCTTATGCTGGCCCAAATTCCGATGCCGTCCTCGTGGGCTTTGTATTATTATTTTTTTATTTATATAGCGCCATCAGATTCCGTAGCGCTGTACAATGGGGTCTAGCATGCAGAGGCCATTGGCCCAGTGAAAAGATGCTGCTACTTAAATAATGCAAAATACACACGAATGGACAAATAATATCAGGGGCTTTTGCTGTAATGTGTTATGAACTCATTAATATTCTATAGTAATATGTATATGTGTTATTGTTCTCATTTCTGTATTAATTATTAGTTTAATGTTGGTGAGTTTTGTGCCCAGCCCCCTTTTTTTGGTATGCCGTCCATATAGATTAAAATATGGGACAACGATGCCTTGGGTAAAAAAAATGATGCACTTGGACCAAACATGGTAAATCTACCTTTCAGATGCCCGTTTTCTTCAATACTATGTGTAGATGTTCAGCACTGTTTTCTGCAGTGATTTTTGCTTTTTATTTTTATATAGTGTTATTAGCAGTAGTGGAGCAATTCGTTTGCGCTATGTTTGGCATTTTCTGTTTATTATATTAGCATTATTTGCAGGAAGAGAAAAATAACAGGTGCTGGAAGAGAGAAGAAGTGTGTGGTTCTTTGCAGACAGTATAAATTGGCCAGCCTCCAAGGCCAGCTGGATGTTAAAAGGGAACACGTCATGTTGCAATCGCCAGTGTAAAACTGCATTTAAAAGTGACAGTAAAAAATATTTTACAGATATCTCTGCAGACAGTGATAATGCTCAGAATTTCTGAAGTCTAGACTTCACTTGTAACATCATAGAACATTTACTTTCCAGTTCTCTGTGCCATCGTTTCCTTTGCCAGTCATGTTAAAGGGACACTCCACAGCCCAAATGCATTAATATAAAAAAAAATCACTGTTTAGTACATATACCCCACATGAAAACATGCATGCACTTAACCCCTTAAGGACGCCCGAACCGTCCTTTCTACTTACCCGGTCGCCGGCGATCCCACGCTGGCGATCGCTGTATGGGGACTCACCTGGGAGCCCAGGGAGTCCCCTTTCTTCCTCTTCGGCCCCCCTGGGCCATGTGATCACGAGGTCCTTGCAAGGACCTCACGATCACATGCACAGCATAGCCATCCAAGGCAGTGCCAGCAGGGGGAGTGCCTGTAATGACAGGTACTACCCCTGCTGCCTGGAAATAGTAAAAAAATAAAGTTAATAACAGTTTAAAATAAAATATATACTTAGAACATATATATATTTATTATATATATATATATATGATCTAAGTATATATATACACATACACATACATCCACTGTCAATGTATATTTTAATATTAATATATATATAATTATAAATATATATTAATATCAAAATACACATACAATATTGATTAAATATATATATAATTTTCATTATATATATATTTATATATAATATTTAAAAAATTATGTAAATACGTTAAAAAATTTAAAAAATAATAATAAAAAATAATTATATATATATATATATATATATATATGTGGGTAAATTCATTCTAACTGTATTTTAAAATTATATATATATTGATATCAAAATACATGTAGAATGAAATAATATATATATATATATATATATCTATATACATAAGTATATACATATATATCACTATATATATATATACCTATATATAAATAAAAATAATAAAAATAAATTATATACATACATATATATATATACATATATATACATATATATATATATATACACACATATATATATATATATATATATATATAATTCTACATATATATTTATGTAATAAAATTTCATAATTAGGTCATTTTATTAATTACAATTAGCGGGACCTGCCTGACAACCCAGGCCAAAAGTCTGGGTTAGCACTATATTTAACCCTGTAACTTTCCAAGACACCATAAAACCTGTACATGGGGGGGGTACTGTTTTACTCGGAAGACTTCGCTGAACACAAATATTAGTGTTTCAAAACAGTAAAATGTATTACAATGACAATATTGTCAGTAAAAGTAATTTTTTTTGCATTTTTCACACACAAATGGACCTTACAAGGACAATATGTAATACGTTTTACTGTTTTGAAACACTAATATTTGTGTTCAGCAAAGTCTCCTGAGTATAACAGTACCCCTCATGTACAGGTTTTATGGTGTTTTCAAAAGTTACAGAGTCAAATATAAGGCTTGCATTTCAGTTTTTTCACATTGAAATTCACCAGGTTGGTTATGTTGCCTTTGAGACCATATGGTAGCCCAGGAATGAAAATTACTCCCATGATGGCATACCATTTGCAAAAGTAGACAACCCAAGGTATTGCAAATGGGGGTATGTCCAGTCTTTTTTAGTAGCCACTTAGTCACAAACACTGGCCAAAATTGGTGTTTAAATTAGTTTTTTTGCATTTTTTACACACAAACAAATATTAACACTGTAACGGATCACCTGGCACCCCGACTGGGTACCTCCGTTGAAGGATGCTCCTAGCACTTCCTGAGGACTCCAAGCACTGCAGCAGACACCAAAACCACCGAACCGTAGGAGCATATGAATGCTCTCAAGCATATGAATGTTGTATACAGCTGAATAGGAAAAACCATGCGAATAGGTTTACACTCCTAGCAGTCAAACTGGAACAGCATACAATAAATCCTCCCCCAATAATGAGACAACACTTCACTTTGAGGGTTAAGCAGGAACTGACTGGACTGGCACATACAGCCTCTTTTATTCCCAATCCACAAACTTAGTACTGCCCACAGGGTTTTACATAACAACCAATAACACACGTACATTACAGAAAGACACTCCCACACAAAATCCTCCCCTCTGTGTGATATGATTACTGAACACAATGGGTAATCTAATTATCACAGCCAGAGAAATACAGTTTCATAAAACACATCACAGGGACCCCAAAACATGCAATAACCCCATAAAAAGTATATCCTTGGGGGGATCTGGGTGAACCACATATCCAAAATTCACCCAGATCCGTTCAGTACTTTGGAAAATACAGTTTAATGCAGATTCTGCAGAACATATACAGGCTAAATAAAAAACAATCATTGTATAATGTGTCCCCTGCTGTATAGTCCAAAACCACTGCACGATGTCTCTGTGCACCAAATACTGGCGAGATGGCACCGTGTTGAAAAGTCCAAACAGTGTCTGGGAGTTAAAATGGCCGCCATCCATTGTTCTCACCATGTGCTTCTGATACAGGAAATGGTGGCCACCCAGTAACTCCACAGTATGTCCCCAGGTGGTTCTTAAAAGGGCCAGCAGCAGCACAACACAAATCCATTATGCCCAAATCATGTCTTTAAAGGGCAATACATCCCAGGGGCTATAGTCACATGGCAGGAGGCTGGCAATCAGTCTTCTCCAATGCCCAGTGGCGAGGTCGGTTTCGCCACAAACACTAACTTTGGCCAGTGTTTGTGATAATTAGGTTGTGTAATTAGGTCTATTGTAATTGTCAGAAGCAGGCCCAATGGACTCTTAATCCACCCATGTGTGGCAGTCAAATCACAGACTTCCCAAACTAGCTCAATGAGAAGTCTTTGCAAGGCAGTTGTTCTGGACAATTGCTGCCTCTTGAGTTTAACTCAACTGAGTTAATTAAATCACGAAGTAACAGCGCTTTTTTTCTGATTGACAGCCAAGGAGGTGTAATAAGGTTAATTTATAAAAGTGCTAATTTCTATTGAAATCTGCACTTTATGTATAATGAAAGAAGAGGACACACTCTTCACACCTAAAGCATTGCAGCAAACTCAAGTGTTTTAGGTGTCCGGAGTGTCCCTTTAACTCATGAAATAGTGCAGCCAGAAAGAGAACCTTCCACATTCTGTTGCCACCATCACAAGAAGATGCCATGGTCTCTAAGGAATATCTCTCACAAAATCCTTGTATAGCTCAGTACTTGACTCAGAATAAGGTGACGTTATCTAAGGGTTCATTAGGAATCATGGCACGTTAAGACTAGACTAACAATTTAGGTGGATATATTACTCTTCTGAATAGAGAATAAGTCAGTGCAACCTATAGCTCTACCAAGCCACTTTCTTACAAACATTTCTGTTACTCTCATTTATCATATGTGGATTATCCATAGCATCAATGTAACCAAATGCTACTCAGGAGTCCATACGGTTCCTAGAACAAAGTCTTCTAAACAAACTGATTGTGGTTTATAGACACGTTACTGTCAGTATTATTGCCATGGAGCTCTGTTATACACGCAGACAAACCAACAATATGGAGCTCTCATAAAAGAGAGACATTAGGATAGAAAAGTGAGACACGTGCTACATTTGGATAACCCAGCAGTCTCCTGCCAGTCAAAAGTCCAGGCTTAAATTGGATCAGGGGACACAGGAGATACCAGGACAGAATCACATTATTTACATGGCTCCTTGATCCGAATGGACTGCCTATCAATGGGATAGATTGGTGCAAAAACGCACACACATGCACTATGTTCTATAAATAACTATAACACATCACAGAAACGTTAATTCTTTGTTGTTATGTATACGATCTGAAAAATAAAAAACAGATTTGCACATTTTACAGTATTAGAAAGGTCAAGTTTTTGTCACTCTGTATCAACCTGGGAGAGGAAGTAAAATAGTGAAACGAACGTGGGTGTGACAGAGGGACATTAAATCTAAAAAAAATACAATCTGATTCAATTGCCTCAATTAGAAGCTAATAATTTGTTTTACTGGTCGCAACATTTGTTAAATAGACATTCCAGGTACTCGTCCAGCTGTCATGTAATTTGATTGTATGGGGCCCAAATAATTAGTTTTAGTACTTTTTTTTTTTAAATACACAATTCTTTAGAATGCTTGAAAAAAAATATGTTATGAAACATTACATGTTCTGCCTATTAAAGCAGGACTGTCACTACTATTGAACAACTGAATAGCTAATAAACATTGAATTTTTGATAATTTTCTAATTTTATTAATATAAATATATTAATATATGAAGAGATGCTGATTGGCATTGTGATTGGCTCAGAACAACACTTGTGATGATGTCAGCAGACAGCTTGCTATTCTGAGGCAGACGGAGGCAGAGCCAGCAGCTTCAGGCTTGAATACAAGCAAGAATTTACTATATTTATGGAGGCAAGAGAGGGCCAGGGGGGCTAGGTGGTGGTTTTAACGCTACGGGGTCAGAAATATATATTTGTGTTCCTGACCCATTAGCGTGTTTGTTTAAGTCCTATGTGTGCACCCTTTATCTTTTGAATTTTTATATATAAATAGTTAAATATATATTTATTTCCACTTTGAGATATTACTATATTTTGCTTTTGTTTACAAGTAATATATTTTGGTTATATTTACAAGTAATTAAGTTAATAATGAAATAATGAACAATGCTCCATCTCTGAGTATAGCATGCTTACCACTTATTTTCTTGGGGCGGGTTATGTGTTCTTGGAATATGTCTTATGAGACTCATTCTTAAATTATGTCATTAAGCTGGCCCCAAATGCCAGCAGTCATTATGAAGATAAAATGCAGTTTTCATGTTAGATAACCATAGGAAATGTAATAATGAAAACCAGCAGACAAATGTCTGTTCATAAATTTGATTTAGAATAAAAAAATATCCTGACAGGGCTATAATAGTTAAAGTGTAACAAGTAGATTGAAGTTAAATAGACTGATTGGAAATTCTGCTTACATGTGACATTTTGTGAAGCTCTCATATGTTTTAAGAAAGTGTGGCTGTCATACGCATCGGACTGAAAAAAAAAGCCTTTAACCGTTATTGGGATGTAAAAAACCCTTGCAGGATGAAATACAAGAAGTATCACTATGCTAATTAGTAGGAGCAAGAGATTTATGGGTAATGCATATTTATTGCTAATGCTAATATTCAAGTTGGGGTTTAAATAGGAATTGTCGCTTGTGTGGAATTTAACCGATAAAACATTGAGAATCTTTTTTTCATGAGAGAGATACATTTATATTAAAGATACAGCAAATGTCAAAAGAAACCTGTTCAGACAAGGGAAAGTCAGGACACACACTGCAAATGGAGAGGAGGAATATAAACATTGTTTCCATTTCCTTCTCTCTGTTTTCTCTGTTCTGACTGCTGGGGGCAAACAACAGAAATTATAACAATGACTGAAAGGGAGCTAAGATGGAGGCCAAGTTGCATGATATAAAGCTGTGGTTTACTACAATTTGGTCTACTACAATTTCATTTTTCACTGCACAAATGCATACTTGTTAAATATAAACATAATATTAAAAATCCTGCAAATTTACAGTGTCCCTTTAAGAGAATCATTGTACCATATACCAAATTGGAGGGCTAATTTGGGCCCTTTGCTAATACGCAATACAAATAGAATTAACATTTTTAACTCCAGTAGGGAATTTTGCAAAACAAAGTTTGTAGACTACATTCTAACCCACCCAAGAATATTTACTAAACCATGACTTGTAGTGAATTTATTAAGGAATTATAATTTTTTTTCACATTTTTCAACCTACTAATTGAGCTGTGTGTTGTAATATAACTGGTATTTTTTATTACATAATGTGTATTCATTGTGTTTGCATTCACTTTGGTCTTGGTATATTATAGAAGCACTATAGGTTCATGAACAAAAACATGTATTCCTGACCCTACAGTGTTAAAACCACCATCTAGCTGCCCCCTCTTGCAACCCTAAATATAGTGAAATCTTACTTGTATTCAAGTCTGCAGATCCAAGCTCTTCCCCTACCTGCTGATATAATCAGAAGTGGTTATCTGAACCAATCACAATGCTTCCCCATAGGATTGGCTGATACTGTCAAGGAGGCAGATCAGGGGCAGAGCCAGCCCAAGTTAAACACAGCCCTGGCCAATCAGCATCTCCTCATAGAGATGAATTGAATCAATGCATCTCTATGAGGAAAGTTCAGTGTCTGTATGCAGAGGGTGGAGACACTGAATGACAGTGCTGCACATTAGGCAGGACTACTTAAGAAAGCAGCTTTAGCAGCCATCTGAGGAGTGGCCAGTGAAGTTATCACTAGGCTGTAATGTAAACACTGCATTTTCTTTGAAAAGACAGTGTTTACAGCAAAAAGCCTGAAGGTAATGATTCTACTCACCAGAACAGATGCAATAAGCTGTAGTCGTTCTAATGACTATAGTGTCCCTTTAATGCGTATGGCACATATCAATATGTAGAACTAATTCCTCATACAGATAACCACAGGTTATAACCCCAGATTTGTGAAGATTTCATGTTTAAGTATTTTTCGCTGTCATAACATAATTATTGCATTACAAATCTTTTGCATTTGTTGTGTATTTGTGATTTGTACGTTAGCTATGTGTTATGCTTACCACTGATCTCTTTTCATAAATAAAGAATTGAAAAACAAAACAGTGGAGGCTTGTCTATACGAGCAGGAGGCACAACATCCCACCCAGTTTTTGTGGCAAAATAAAAACGTTGGCAGTGGTTTTCCATGGGGTCGCCAGATCCCAGAACCTGTTTTTTACACAGTCTTTTAATGTTGCCATTGGTTATCTGCATCAGTAGGTGGAGTTGGACATCATAAAAAGTGGTTGTTGTTTCCCAAACACACGTAACTATAGGTTTATGGTTTTCAGTTAGGCATGACGTTTTGTTGGTTCAGGGATTTAGGAAATGGGGTTAAGTGTGCAGAGCTCAACAATTCACAGGGGCAGTATCCCACCATGTTTGAACTTTGCCTGCCAAAAACACATTTTGATGATAGTTGATATTATGTTTTCATCTTAGAGTCGGACCCCAAAATCACGTCTGGGTTTAAAAGAAGAGAGAATAGCTGCAGGCTATGGAGCATTATAGAAGTTGTCGTCTCATAAAAGTTTGACAACCAAAGCTGGCAAGTGGCCATCCCAATTCTAGGTAAAATAATTAGCATTTCAGTTTTCTTTGCTGCTTTTTTGATTTATATTTACATATTTCCTGAGATAATAAAAAATGCCCAAGTACGTAAGGTTGAAAGTGAATTGAATAAGGTTCCTGTAAAGTGAAATTTCATTTAGAAGGATATTATTGATCATTCCAGTAATCAAATGTGGTGGGTGCTAAAGGCTAAAAGGTTAGCCTTAATCAAACTAATTGCCAATTTATGAGAAAGGTTGCACAGTCCTTGGGGTTACTTTTTAATTTAAAACATGTTGAGTCAGTGTTCAGACTATTTTTTTTTTTTTAACCCTTTAAGGACGCATGACGGTTCAGGACCGTCCTCGGCATTTTTGCGTTGCCGACCGAGGACGGTCCTGAACCGTCCTAACGGAAAACAGGCGGCGGGAGCGATCAGAGATCGCTTCCGCTGAAATCCCGTTGTTACTATCTGCCCGGCATCCCAGGCAGATAGTAACAGCCAATTGCGGCATGTGAGCGATCCGCGATCGCTCACAATTGGCTGGTGTCAAAGTGGGTGTTACAAACACTCACTTTGACACTGATCTCTGCCTCTCTCCTCTCTGTAGCGTTTTGTGAGAGGAGAGAGACAGAGATCCTGATAGTTTGTTGCAGCAGCTGTTCCTGTGAAAAATAAAAAGTATCTTCAGTTAATTAAAATCCTATTTTAACCCCTTCCCTGCCAGATCTGTTACAGACAGTGCATTTTTACTGTCTGTATTTTTTTTTTTGCCCTTAAGGGTTAACTTTATTTTAAAAAATCTGTGTCTTAGACTGTCTTAGACTGTCTTAGACTGTCGTAGTCTGTTTTAGTCTGTTTTAGTCTGTTTTAGTCTGTCGTAGTCTGTCGTAGTCTGTCATAGTCTGTCGTCTGTCATAGTCTGTCATAGTCTGTCATAGCCTGTCGTAGTCAGTCAGTTTCCTTCCCCCAAATCTCCATTAGATTCTTCTAACAGGAGTTAGTTTAGGGATTACTGTTTTAGTCTGTTTTAGTCTGTTTTAGTGTTTTAAAAAAAAAATAAAAAAAATATTGTGTTTAGTATTTTGTTAGTTTAGTCTGTTGGTGTGAAACATGCAGCGCATGTACAGCTTGGAGGAGGCATATGCCTTCTTGGCGTCAGACTCTGACGCCACTGACACTGCGTCCGATTTTGACCCAGGTCAGTTTAGCGGCACGTCTAGTGACATGTCATCTGTGAGTGAGCCAGCTGCTAAAAGAAGCTGTGCTTCCCCTGCTACGCTGAATGTGGAGGAGGACTGGGTACCTCCACAGTTAGCTGAGCCCAACATCCCCCCTTTTAGTGCCAACGCAGGCATTAATGTGAATGTGGTTGACTTCTCCCCTATACAATATATGGAGTTATTTTTAGGGGATACCATCTGGGAGGAGATTGCTTCCCAGACTAATTTATACGCTAGCCAATTTATTGAGACCAATCCAGGTAGCTATACAGTCAGGGAGCATGCTTGGCATCCCACAGATGTCCCTGAACTTAAAACATTCTGGGCTCTTACCATGCTCATGGGGATAATAAAAAAGCCATCAATCCGGTCTTACTGGAGCACCAACCCAATTTGTTCGACTCCTATATTCTCCCAAACAATGCCTAGACCAAGATATGAGCTGCTGCTCAGATACTTACATTTTAACGACAATACGCTCTGTCACCCCAGAGATCACCCCGAATATGATAGGCTTTATAAAATACGCCCACTGGTAGACCATCTTCAGAACAGATTTTCTGAAGTTTATACTCCCCAACAAACTTTATCCATCGATGAATCCCTTATGAAATACAAAGGGAGATTAGGGTTCAAACAATATATCCCCTCAAAGCGGTCTAGGTATGGCATTAAAGTGTACAAACTTTGCGAGAGCGAAAGTGGCTACACATTTGCCTTCCGTGTATACGAGGGGAAAGATGCTCAACTGAACCCTCCTGGCTGTCCTGACTCTCTGGGGACAACTGGGAAACTTGTTTGGGACCTACTGAACCCTTTGTTCAATAAGGGTTACCACCTTTATGTGGACAATTTTTACAGCAGTGTCCACTTGTTTAAAATTCTTTATAGTTTACAGACACTGGCCTGCGGCACTGTAAGAAGAAATGCCAAGGATTTTCCCAGACCTCTCATAGAGGCCAAATTAAAAAAAGGGGAATGCAAAGCTCTGCGCAAGGCTGAACTGCTTGCGCTAAAATTTAAGGACAGGAAGGATGTTCACATGATAACAACCATCCATAACGAGGGCATGTCAGACGTCACTGTCCGAGGCAGGGTACAGACAAAACCGGTGTGCATCAGGGCTTATAACAGGCACATGGGGGGTGTTGATTTGGTTGATCAGCTGATGCAGCCTTATCTTATCTTAAGAAAGACAAAAGCCTGGTATAAAAAGGTGGCTATCTACCTGTTGCAAGTAGCAACACATAATTCATTTTTACTTTTTTAAAAAAATTAATCCAGGAAGAACCACCTATCTCCAATTTCAGCTCAAGCTGATTTCCACAATAATTTATGGAGATGGTCAAGTTCCAACGACAGTGCAAGAGTCGCCTAGACATTTTATTTTTAAGATACCGCCAACACCAAAAAAAAGAAACCCCCAGAAACGTTGCCGGGTCTGTTATAAAAAAGGGAAAAGGACAGACACCCCTTTTCACTGTCCCGATTGCCATACAAAACCTGGACTGTGCATTGGAGAATGTTTTAAGGTCTACCACACAGAAAATACATTTTTATAATACTTGTTCCTGATTTATTTTTTTTGTTTATTTTGAAAGCAGCAAATTTCTGTTAGTCAGTATCCTTCCCCAAATCTCCAGTTAGATTCTTTTTGCAGGAGTTAGTTTACAGATTGCTGCTAACAGAAGTTTTAGTCTCATTTAGTCTGTTTTTTAACTCTGTGTTAGCCAGACTCTGACGCCACTGACACTGCGTCCGATTTTGACCCAGGTCAGTTTTCTGACATGTCATCTGTGTGTGAGCTGGCTGCAAAAAGAAGCTGTGCTTTCTCTGATACGCCGAATGTGGTGGAGGAACAGGTTTCTCCACAGTTAGCTGAGCCCCAACACAGGCATTAATGTCAATGTGGATGACTTCTCCTCTATGCAATATATGGAGCTATTTTTAGGGGATACCATGTGGGAGGAGATTGCTCCCCAGACTAATTTATATGCTACCCAATTTATTGATACCAATCCAGATAGCTATGCAGTCAGGGAGGAGTGTGCTTGGCATCCCACAGATGTCGCTGAACTTAAAAATTCTGGGCTCTTACAATTCTCATGGGGATTATAAAGAAGCCATCAATTTGCTCTTACTGGAGCACCAACCCAATCTGTTCTAGTCGAGTGTACTCTCAAACCATGTCTAGAACAAGATTTGAGCTGCTGCTGAGATACTTACATTTCAATGACAATACCCTCTGTCACCCCAGAGATCACACCTAATATGATAGGCTTCATAAAATACACCCACTGGTAGACCATCTTCAGCACAAATTTACTGAAGTTTATACTCCTCAAAAAAATGTATCTATTGATGAATCGTTAATGAAATATAAAGGGAGATTAGGATTCAAACAATACATCCTCTCAAAGCGCTTTAGGTATGGCGTAAAATTCTACAAACTGTGCGAGAGCGAAAGTGGCTATACATTTGCCTTTCGTATATATGAGTGAAAGATGGTCAACTGGACCCTCCTGGCTGTACTGACTCTCTGGGGACAAGCGGGAAACTTGTTTTTGACTTACTGATCCCCTTGTTCAATAAGGGTTACCACCTTTATGTGGACAATTTTTATAGCATTGTCTGTTTGTTTCAAACTCTTTAGGGTTTC